GGTGCACCCCCCAGGCCTGCAGCAGCCACTCACATGGCAGAAGATCATGGCTTGGGCGATGGTGATGGCCCCGTACAGGTTGCACAGGGCCTGGAACTTCTCCTCTCTGTTATTGCAAACGACGTAATACTGTTTGATGGTGTCCAACGTCTCCTCTTCACGCTTAAGTTTGATGATGTTGGGGTCTGGGACCACCTTCTGGGCAAACTTCCACACTGAGTCTTCAAAGGTGGCAGAGAAGAGCAGCATCTGGCAGTTTCTGGGCAGCATCCTGCAAGTGGAGACCCAGGCACTTTGGGAGACTCCAAGGATTTTGCCAGAAGGCACACAAGCCCAGCCTCCGCAGCCCGGATGGGCTGCAGCCCCAGCAGGCCGAGTGGGGTACAGAGCATCCTGAGAGGGAGGAGCAGACCGAGAGTGGCGCTGGGCTGAGTGAGGGTCCCGGGTCTCCCTTTCACCATGCTCCAGGCTGGGGGCACGGTGACAGCTGTTGTGGAAATGGCCCATCACACAAATACTGCTGCACAGAGCACAGCAAAGAACCCCAAGATGCAAGAGGAGGCTTTGGAAGTTCCTCCTGGCTCCAGTTCCTACCTCTGGATGCGGATGCTCTGGTCTTGGTGGCCCTGAGTTGCTATCATCACATCAGCCTCGTCCAGAACAAACACCTTGATCTTCTTGGGGTCAATGAACTTCAGCTTGGAGCACCAGTCCAGGACGGTCCCGGGGGTGCCAATGACAATCTGCTCACTGACCTTCTGACCTCTGTCCACTGTGGAAAAGACATGTTCTCTTCAGGTATTCCAAAGGAAAGCCAGCTCTCTATTCTGAGATATCTTGTAGCTACTTTGTATTTAGTACTAATGATTTTCTGTTAATATTTTAAGGAAAGTTTGGATGTCACTATACTATCTAATGGGCACATAGCTAATCAAATTTAAAATTAATAAAATTAAATGTTAAGGAGATATCAAAACATGATAAAATTGGTAAGGTAAAAAGGGATCCAGGTACGGCAATGGGTGTCTATAATCCCAGTCCACAGGAGCCTAAAATAGGATTGCAGGGCAAGACCAAGCTAGATCTCAGCAACCGAAGAGAGTTTTTAAAAGTTGATTTTCTTATTTTCATTAATTAATTAGTTAAATAATTAATTTTGGAGCTGAGGAATGAACCCAGGGCCCTAGCGCTTGCTAGGCAGGAGCTCTACCACTGAGCTAAATCTCCAACCCTGATTTTCTGGGGTTTTTTTTGCCGAATGCCATTTATTAAAGGAGGGAGGAGGTCTTAAATACAGGCTTACAGCACAATGGGAGAACCCCAGAGGGCAGAAGTTCGCTATTGATGTTTTAAAATCTCGCATCTAAGCTGTTAACATCCATTATACAGGATACACAGACAAGGAACTTCCCTTAAGCATTCAGGAGGGTGGAAACCGGCAGGGAATTAGCATAGGGAGAATTTTTTTTTATTATTTTGGTTTTTTGAGACAGAGTTTCTCCTGTAGTTTTGGTGCCTGCCCTGGATCTCGTTCTGTAGCCCAGGCTGGCCTCAAACTCACAGAGATCCGCCTGAGTCTGCCTCCCGAGTGCTGGGATTAAAGGCGTGCGCCACCACCAGCCAGCTCAAGAAAATTTTGAGTACAAATGGGCAAGAGTAAAACAGATGTTAAGTTTTTTAGGGAACTGTTAATTTGCTTGGTTGTAACAAGGGCATTATGATTATATAATATCTGTATGAGGTATATACTAAAAGATTTAGGAAGAATCAACTACAGTAAGACAATTTACTTTCAAGTGTTTCACAAAAATGTACAAACATATCAATAAAGAAAATGTGGCAAGCTGAGCAGTGGTGGTGCATGCCTTTAATCCCAGCACTCAGGAGGCAGACTCAGGCAGATCTGTGAGTTCGAGACCAGCCTGGTCTACAGAGTGAGTTCCAGGACAGGCTCCAAAGCTACAGGGAAAAAACCCTGTCTCGAAAACTTAAAAAAGAAAAAAAAAAAAAAAAAAAAAAAAAAAAGAAAAGAAAATGGGGCAAATGTTAAGTTTCCGAATCTGGGAAGGAAACATACATATATACATATATTCATTGAACTGTTTTAACTCCTGGGTATGTTTTGAAATTTCTCAAAATTAAAAGAAGTTATTAGATTTATTTATGATCTAGGCCCACATATTCATACTCACATTTATTGCCTCGAACAGCATAAGCTAGCTTCAATTCAGGGTAAAACTTGCCCATCTGTTCAATCACTTTTCCTGTTTGAAGAGCAAGCTCATAGGTTGGAGAGAGGCAGAGACACTGGAGAGAAAGAGTACAGAATGAGAACTCTTAACAAAAGTCTGTCTGGCCAAGGAACTCCACATTAGAACCTACCCATCCATCTGGGACCACAGGAAAGAACATATGCAGCATACAATATTTGTATTCATTAAAAAAAAAAATTTTTTTTTGAGACAGGTTTCTCTGTGTAGCCCTAGCTGTCCTAAAACTTGCTTTTTAGACCAGGGTGGCCTCGAACTCACAGCGATCCAACGCCTGTGCCTCCCAAGTGCTGGATTAAACATAATGCACCACCACCACCTGAGCATAAAAAAAAATTTAATTTGTATTTATATAGGTATTTTGCCTTCATGTAAGTCTGAACCAAGTATGTGCAGTGCCCCAAGAAGCCAGAAGAGGGTGTCAGATCCCCTGGGGCTGGAGTCCAAATAGTTATGAGCTGCTATGTGGGTGCTGGAAGTTGACCCCAGGTCCTCTGGAAGAGCATTAGTGCTCTTAACTGCTGAGCCATCTCTCCAACTACATCATTTCACTTTTAAACTGCTGGGTCATATACTAGAATTATTAGTGGTCAGACTATGGCTAGGTAAACACACTTGAAAACAGGAACTGCCGGCCTGGCATGGTAGCAAACACCTTGGATCCTGGCACTCGAGAGGCAGAGCCAGGCGGATCTCTTGAGTTCAATTCCAGACTGTTCTACAGAGGGAGTTCCAGGACAGCCAAGGCTTCATAATGAGCTTCATAATGAGAACCAATCTCAAAAGAAAGGAAGGAAGGAAAGACTGAAAAAAGGAAGAAAAGAAAAGAGCAGCAGCTGGCCACTAGAGCACAAAAACCTTCCCCATGAGCAACTGTGCTATTTACATTTTGTTGTGTTTCTATGACAACGTCTGTAACTTCAGGAAGGAAAGGCTTGTGTGTGTGGAGTGGACAGAGTTCATCCTGCTGAGGATGCTGTAACTGGAGAAGCATGAAGGGTCTAGTCCTACTGCATTGCAGTCAATCAGGAGGGCTTCCTCTCCCCCTAATTTAGTCTTGGATGATGCATGCACATTCAAAGTCAGCTTCCTTTCCTCAATTCAGCTCACTTGGAAACACCCTTCCTGACTCACCCAGAGGCATGTAGACATCCCAGGAGATTTTAAATCTCATCAAGTTGATGAACAAAATTGTAAAATTCCAGTTGAAGATTAGCTTCCTTCTCACATAGAAAATTCTCAGAACTTTCTCTTCTTTTTCTTCCTCTCTTCTATTTGGGAGCAAGGTCCTGCTCCACAGACCAAGCTGACCTCAAGATGAGTATATATCCGAAGTTATCCTTAAATTCAAGCTCAACTTGTCTCAGCCTCTCAAATTCTAGGATTACAGACATATACTACCATGCCTAGCAGTTAGAACTTTTGTACCTACATTAATTGTAATGAGGTTTTTCCTACAAGTAAAAACATCAAGCTTATTAGCAGTAGTCTAGGATTTGCACATTCTGTGTTCAATTTGAGTTCTGGTTTATATAAAAGGGAATCAAGCCAGATGTGGTGTCTCATTCTTATAATCCCGGGCCAGCCTGAATTACATAGTAAGTTTCAGTACAGCTTGAACTACAGAGAGAGAGAGAGACCTTAAAAGGGGGGGTAGTGACGAAAGACCCTTTCTAAAAACTGATAAAAGCTTTTTGGTTTGTTTAAAATGAGTGTATAATGAAAATTTCATAGCTATATAAAATGGAATACTATCCAAAATTTGTAAGGAAATGGACGTAGAATGTGTTAAGAAAGGTCAGACAACCATAAAGGAAACAAATGCACTTACTCTTCCTCTGGGGATCCTAGCCTATAATGTGTGTGTAAACAAATGTACATGTGGATACAGTGTAACATGTAGAAAGGAGAACAAGAAAGGTAAATATTGGATAATGGGAGGATAGAATCCAAGTAACAGATTTCAGGATAGCCAGGGCATCCTAATAGAGAGACTCTGTCTCAAAAAACAAAACAAAAGAATACCATAGTGAAAGTATTAAGGACCTGGGTTTTATTCCCAACACCCACATTGAGACTCACAACCATCTTTAACTCCAGTTCCAGGGAATGTGATGCCTTCTTCTGGCCTCTGCAGGCACCAAGCACACAACTGGTGCAAAACATACCTATATATAGGCGCCATAAAATTAAAAAATTCCAGTGTAAAGCACCATAGCTTCAGAATGGTTTTTCTTTTTCTTTTCTTTTCTTTTTTTTTTTTTTTTGGTTTTTCGAGACAGGGTTTCTCTGTGTAGCTTTGCGCCTTTCCTGGAACTCACTTGGTAGCCCAGG